TTCTTAGAGAAATGTCTATTTAGAGCATTCATCCCTTTTTTTTTTTCCCTTTTAAACTGGGCTGTTAGTTTTTTATTGTTGAGTTGTAATAATTATTTATTCTAGAATAAAGTACCTATCAGATACATGACTTGCAAACATTTTCTTCCATTCTATGAGTTGTCTTATCACTTTCTTGATGTTATAGTTTGCAGAACAAAGGTTTTTTTATCTTGAGGAAGTCAGATTTATTTATTTAAAAATTTTTATTGCTAGTGTTTTTTGTGTCACAGCCAAGAAGGCTTTGCCTAACTGAAGGTTGCAAAGGTTTATTCCTATGTTTTAAGAATTTATAGTTTTAGATCTTACATTTAGTCTATGATCTACTTGGAGTTAATTTTTGTGTCTGTCATAAGGAGTCCAATTTTATTCTTTTGCATGTAGATATTCATTTGTCCCAGGACCATTTGGTGAAAAGACAAGCTGAACGTCACTTCTGAAGCACATACAGTGAAACCCGTGAGAGCTGGAACTCTGAGACAACTGAGCTTTTCTGGGTTTCACAAATCTTCCGCCTTTGACAAGTAGGGTCTTACCATTTTTCTATTGCTTTCTACTAGTGGATAGCATTTGAATTTTCTTTCTCTAACAGCTTTCTGCTTTACACAGGTTCTGGCTTTTGCAGATCTTACTGAAATTATAATGACCTAATGAGTCATCGGGCTCCCAGTTACAATGTAAGCACCAGGAGGGCAGGGCTAGTACCTACCTTGTTTGTTACTGTATCTCCAACATCTAGCACAATGCCTCCTAATAGCACTAATAAATATTATTTAAATGAATTAATACTTGTGCTAATACTATTAACGCTACATTCTACAGGCTATAGATATTATCATCTTCATGTTACTTAGGGTCAAAGAAATGAGGCAATTGATTTGGTCAATTTTCAATTTTGACTCATGTCCTTGCCTCACCTGGGGGTGAGGGGTGGTGGTGAAATCCTCCGGGGCAGGAATTGCCTCTCCTTCCTCATTGTATTACCTCCCACCCCTGGCCCACATTCAGCTGAGGGTTGTTGTTGTTAAGTGCAGTTGAGTCCGTTCCAACCCATACAGCCCTGTATAGGGTTTCCTAGGAGTGGTTGGTGAGCTTGAACTGCCAGCCTCACGGTTCAAACTGGCTTTGCTGTCCAGCTCATTAACGCACAGTGCCACCCCAGGACTCCCAGTTGGGGGTTGTTGTTGTTGCTGTGTGTGTGGAATCAGTTCCGACCCTGTACACAGTTTCCGAGGCTGTAAATCTTTACGGGAGCAGAAAGCCTCATCTTTCTCCCTCGGAACCGCTGGTAGTTTTGAACTGCTGACTGTGAGATTAGCAGCCCCATTTGTAACCACTAGCAACCAGAGCTCCTTCAGTTGAGGGTAGGCAAAGGATCTAGGTTGGATTGATGGGTGACTGAATGACAAATGGACAAAGAGGTTAGATGACCAGCCCTCTACCTATTGCTAAACTCTTTTGGACTTAGACTGTGACCCAGCAACACCTATGAAGTCTTTCCCACCACATAGATCAGGCTGGTCTTGGCTGGGTGCCACCACTCGTGCTATCCCCAGTGCCTGGAATGTCTCCTGCTTCTCTTGGTTCTGTCTTTCTGGTGTTTTAAGACTCTCATCTGGTGCTCTCTCTTCTAGGCTGTTTCCCTGATCCCCAGAATGGTTGGGGTCATCTGGGCACCTGCAGTCTCTGAACTGCACTTATCACACTGTGGCCACAGTCAGCCCTCTACTCCTTCATCCAGGGCAGGACCCACAACTGCTCAGCAGAGGACCTGACCTACATCACACCTGTGACTGACAAGTCGATTCTGACTCACAGTCACCCTACAGATAGAACTACCCCGTAGTGTTTTCAAGGCTGTCATCTTTACAGGAGCAAACTGTAACATCTTCCTCCCATAGAACGCTTGGTGGGTTAGAACAGCTGACCCATATGTTTGCAGCTGAGCACTTAAACCACTGTGCCACCAGGGCTTGACATATATCAGGTAAATGTTTGTAAAATGAATTAATCTTAGAGAGATCAAACAGTCTGAGGTATAAGATTTATCCCATCAGTCTTCCTTCAAGTTTGAGCAGATGCCCAGTTCCTTGCTGGGAGAGGGAAAGTGGTTAGGGGTGTAGTCTTTCACCCATTTGTTCTGAAGGAAATGTGATCTCTAGGAGGCCTCACTTCTCTCAGCCCTGATTGCTCCTCTTGTGGCTCAGCCAAGTCTGGACAGATGTGCCTTCAGTCTGCCCTGTGCCCCGGGTTTCGGGTGAATGGTTCCTGAGTTCAGAAGCCAAGCTAGACTTGGGCTGAGCCCAGGAGTAGAGCCACCTGCTTACACTGCTGACAAGTGGGATAGGGAGAGGCCCCAGAACCTGAGCAGACAGAACAGAATGTGCTTACAAGGTGTAAGTGCTCTAGGGGCTGGGAAGAGAGACAATGATTTTCACATGGGGAGAAAGGTGGAGGAAAGGAAAGCCAGAGGAAGAGCTTCCTATTCCTCTAACATAGACAATGGGAAGATGGAAATAAGACTCAGGAAAGCTGGCTTCAGGTTTGCTCAAAAGTTAGTAAATAACAAACTTTCCAAGTTCCCTGCATTCTGGGGGAGAGACTAAGAGACAATGGGAACTCAACCTTGTCCTTAGTGAGGGCCACAATCTAGTGATTTCAGACAAAGTCAAGCCCAGAAACCTCTCAATGCAAAGACTATGAGTGGTAGATCCTGCCCTTCCCTGTGCCTTTAGTCAGGCAGGCCCACCACACCTGGCTAGCTAGCCCCGGAGGAAGCATGTCAACTGCATCCACACATCCACTGTTGGCTTGATCCTCTCCTATTTCCTGAGGACTCCTGATCGCTCCCTCAGGAGACTGGTCTCTAAATCTGACTGGTTTCTCTGTTTGGGGACTGATGTTCACAGTCCTGATGTTCAACCCTGCTTCTATCACCTGACTTCAGTTTCTCTTCCAGAAGAGAATTCCTCTATTATAGCCTGGTCCTGCCTAGGTGGCCCTCACACCCTCCTAGACTAGAGGAAGGTGGGTAGAGACAAAGGAGTGGAAATTGCACCCAACTGGGAGGAGTTAAGGAAGGCTTCACAAAAACCTCCCCACTGCTTATATGATTATCAAATCATCTAACTCAGGTGTGCTCGACCTCATAGTCCAGCCTCTCCTGAACCACCTTTCCTCTCCCGACACCCTCACACGGATGGACGCAAGTACCAACCCCAGTCACATCAACATGCTTGCCAGGTCCAGCGGCTGGCCAGCATCTACTCCCTTTACTCAGCATGTTCCCCTGCTCTGTGGTCTGTAGGTGATGGGAATGGGGGCTGCTGTGCTAAACCTGACTCATCCCTGACTCCCTCACAGGGGGGTTAAGGGAGATTCTGAGTCACTTTAACCAAGAGACATGGGACAAGAGAGGGAGCAGGAGAACAGCAGGTCAGAAACTGGGGGATACACATATGAAAAAGATCCCTACAGACACTATACACATAGACGAATGAATGTTCAGAACAACTCCCTGAGTTACACACATCAAGTTAAATCACTTTCTGAAGTTTTGGGCAGCTATTTAACTTATCTAAAAAAACATATCTGCAAGAGCTAATCAGTGCTTGGGGCTTAATGGAATGGGGTAAATTTAGCCTTGCCAGGCCAGACAGGGGAAGGCAGCAGCTGGACAGCTGTCGCCAATTCTCAATCAGGGATCCCAGGTCCAGCAAGGACCTACATGGAGGGGCACAGCCCGTTCTGCTGCACTACAGTCAAGTGGAACAAGACTCATCTGTTTCTGAGGGAGTGAAGATGCCACAAACAGCCTGCAGTTATGAATGGCTCTTATAACAACAAGCTGACATCTGTGCTTGGTTTCTAAGATGCATCATCACATGTTTATTAAACTATTGCTCCATCATATTTATTTGGCTACGAAAGCACTTCTAGCTCATACTTTCAAAAGTGGTTTATTAAAAACTAAGCCTTGAACATTAATACTCAAAAGCACCCTTGAGAATCAATAATAATGCTGCAGATAAAATGAAAGGGAATCAAAGCAGTAAGTCTTGGTGGGGGCTGTGGCTGCCTTTTACTATCTTCTTGTATATTCAGGCAGCTACTGGGGAAGAGCACCAAGGGTCCCTGGCACTGGTATCCCAAACACCTGACTTCCTGCCTAAAACATGGGCACAGTAGAAGGGAAAGCGGAATGTGTCCTCTGATGCCCTAGATCCAAAGGGTCAACAGAGTCAAGACTAGTTTAGTGGGGGCCATCAGTTTCAGCCAGAAAAAAACCTCTGCCCCTAATCAGCAGCCCCACACTGAAGCCCCAGGGTGGCCCATTTGAACATTCATCCTAGCAACAGGTTGAGCCCTGAATTGAGACTTTCCCCTGCCCAACAGGCCTCAAATCCACCCTTTCAGTGGTTAACGCTTCAATTAAGAGAAAGGCTGAAAAAATACAATCTGTCCCTGAGCCTGGTGCCAGCACATGCACTCCAACCCTGCAGACACAACTTCTTAGCTCTAAATTTTCTGGCAGAAAGACCTCTTCCAGTTCCCTCCTAAATCCCCAAACTTCTCCACAAAAGGCCCTGTCCAAAATGCAACCAGTAACAATGACTGATTCCCCAGAGAAACAAGGACACACTGGACAATTCAGAGAAGAACCCAGAGGATGTGCAGGGAACTCCAAACCATGCTCTGTGAAGAACAAAATAGCCAAAGGACCAAGGAATCTTTGTGGCTAGAAAAAAAGGGACACAGGGGACTAACCCCTACTTTACAGTATGCAGAAGGTGACCTGGGCCCAGGGAGTCAACATGCTAGGTGACTATGGAAGTTACAAGGTACAATTCCCCACTATGTCTGAGGAAGATTTCATCCGAGGCAAAGTCATCCCATGGGGAAGGGGCACATCCTGTCACCCTTCAAGAGAAGGAGAACAAGGGCTGGGTTTTGACACTTACCTGCGGACTTCCTGGATATTGTTGGCACGAGCAGCTTCCACCAGGGCTGCATCTGAAGAGAGAGGGGGCACTGGTCAGATCCCTGGCCAGAACCTACACCTCAGGGCTGCTTGGGAAATGGAAGCACTTCATAAACATGGACTTCAGCAAGTGAAACGATGCCAAGATATATCAAGACAATGCTAGTCACTCCCTCCCCACATGGTATCCATTGTTAACAACGTATCCTTCCACCCTTCTTCATTTAGAGAACCCAAACTCCTAACAATTTCTCATCATACAAAGCAACATGTCTTGTCTATGGTAAGTACTCAATGTGCAAATTATCTTCCCCCTTCATAAGGTACAAAGCTCACTAGAAGCCTAATTAATACATTTTATGATACTGTCATTATTATTAAGGAGCCCCGGTGGGTGACACTGTAGGATAAACACTAGACTGCTAACTACAAGGTCAGCAGTTTAAAATCCAGCATCCACGCTACAGGCAAAATAAGAGGCGTTGTGCTCCCATAAAGATTTACAGCCTCAGAAGCCCTGTACAAGGTCATCATGAGTCAAAATCAACTCACTGGCAATGAGTTCGGTTTTCTGGTTTATTATTATTAATAACCATTCTCCACATTGCTCCACTTTCTCCCCCAGCTCCAGTTACCTAGACTAGTTCCCCATCTTGATATCACAGGTCACAAACTCAGTTGAAGGGGCGTAACAAGAAGCCCACAGGGCTGGGAGAACCTCCGGAGAGTGGGGAGAACCTTATGGAGAGTCACGTCATGAGACCTGGTTCTAAGTCCTCTGCCATTTGCTCACCTCACCATGTGACTGCTGCAGCCCCTTTTCCTCTCAGCCCATTTCTTTGACTATAGAGACAATAATCCTTGTCTTGGAAACCTCACAAGGCTACCAGAGATGAAACAGTGGTTGAAAACAATTTGCAAACTCTCTGGTGCCAAGTCCAGAGCAGTGTTAGATCCTTAGTAATCACTGGGCTTAACAGAAAGTCAATGCTAAGCATTGTGTTGCTAACTGTCAATGGTTCAAACCCCCTAGCTGCTCCCTAGGAGAAAGATGAGGCAGTCTGTTTCTGTTAAGATTTACAGCCTCAGCAAACTCCATGGGGCAGTTCTATCCTGTCCTCTAGGGCCCACTATGAGTCGTAATTGACTCAATGACAGTGGGTTTGGCTTGATTTCTAAGCCTGGCCTGGCCCGTTGTGAAGGAGCCCTGGTGGTGGGTGCTGTAGGTTAAACACTGAGCAAGGTGGGCAGTTCAAACCCATCAGTCACTCTGGAGGAGAAAGATGAGACTGTCGACTTGGGTAAAGATTTACAATGTCAGAAACCCTATGGAGCAGTTCTACTCTGTCCTAAGGGGTCTCTATGAGTGGAAATTGACTGGACAGCAGTAGGGGTTGGCCTGGGCTGCCTGCAGGCTACTGGCACCACCTTGTGGTTAAAAACAAAACCCTGCCTGACTCCAGAAGAAAACACAAACTCAATAGCAGAGGGACAAGTTTTTCAAAGAGTCCATCACCAAGTGCCCAGAGAACCCTCTGTGCCAAGCCTGCTTCTGAAGTAAATTGTTGGGCACTAAACAGACTTATACCCAGCCCTGCCTCAGGGAGTCTCCCAGTCCAGCCAAGAGTCTCACCAATGAAACACAAGAGGAGGCAGTGGAGCAGAGTGGAAAAAGTAGGATCTAGAGGTCCAGCCCCATTGCTTATGTGTACAACCTGGCCAATTCCCTTATATTCTCTGGGCCTGCTTCCTCATCGGTACAAGAAGGATAACATATCCACTGATGGTGCATGGGAAAGTCAGTTCTGTAGTTCAGGCACTGCTGTCTCCAACCCACGTCCTGGCCTAGACTCCAGAGCCAGGCCCTTCCTGGTTACCTTCCCCAGGTGTTCTCCAAATATATACCCAGGAACACTCAGGCAGATCCCAGCTGGAACAAGCTTTCCTCGGAGATCACTGTATGTCCTCCCTGTTCACTCTGCAGAAAGCAGTGGCTTCTGCAAGATCAGAGGAGGTGAGGAATGAGTTTAAATGAAAACCAGGACATCCTGGCTCCTAAAAATGCAGTTTCTACTACACTGCACTGAGGGTCTCAGCTCACAATGCCAAATCAGGAGACAAGGTAGCTGGCAAGTCAGAAGGGGTTATTACTTCAGGTCCCAAAGATGGGACTGGTTATGATCATTATTTTGGTAAATACTGGTCTTGCTGGGTTTCATATGACACCAGCTCAATGGTGGAATCCAAGTTCTATGGAAGTCAGGCCCCTAAATTCTCAGCCAGAGTGGTTCTGACCCTGCCTGCACAACAGAGTCATTTATGTACGATATTTCGAAAACACGCTGATGCAGAGGACCAACATGGATCAATCAAATCAGAATCCCTGGGGGTAAGATTTAAGCATCAGCATGATTTTAAAAGCTCTGCAAGTGATTCCAAACAAGGTTAAAAACATTGGTCTAGCCTAAACCAAATAATAAAGAGGGAAGGACATCCTTCTCTTACAAAGTCAAGTCTCAGGTCCATAATACCCCCCATGCCATTTTCTGTCCTGCATGGCAAAATTATAGGTTTAGTCTCCTCCCCTCATTCCCATCCAAACACACTGACCTCAAGACATTACTTGTTCACAAACCTTCATGATCTCCCCTGTCTACAGGAAGAATCCCAAACTCTTCAGGGCCACTCTATCTGCTCTTACCATATCCAAAGGCCTCCTGTCCTCCAACCAGACTGGCCACTCTGCTAGCCCCAGCACATACGATGCTGATCTCTGACTCTTTGTTACTGAAGCCTTTGGCTGGGATACAATCCAACTCAAAGCACATTTCCTGAGTCCCTACTAAATTCAAGAAACTATGGTGAATGATGCATTGGTATTGGGAAGGGAGCTGGTACCAACCTAAAAAACAAGATGATTCCTTGCTCTCAGTGGGACTACAATATCCTTCTTTACTTCTGTCCTTCAAGACTCACGTTAAAATTCCCAACCCCCCAGGAGTTTCCAAGTTTTCAGGAATGCTTTCCTGACCCTGCTAGTTCTCTGATCCCCCAACAACACGAAACACCACTCAGAAAATCTAACTGCCCTGCACTGCCCCTTTGATTTATTTTGTGCTGTTAGGAGTTCCAACAATATCTGGTCCTATACTAGGCATATAGAAAGTACACAAAAAAGAACTCTTAGAGCCTTTAGCTCAACATCCTCATCTTGTGAATAAGACAATTGAGGGTCAAAGAGGAGCAAGAATCGTCACAATGGGAATTCGAGGCAGAACCAAAACAAGATCCTAGGTGTAATAACTCCCAGTCCAAGGCCACATCCTGTGGGATAAATGAATGTCCAGCAGTCCTACCTGCATGGGCTATATAAACACCATGCCTCAGTCTCCCCCTATAAGGAACAACTGAGAACCTGAGTGCTGATTTCATGTAGGCCAGAAATCGGGCTCTCTGCTTACTCTTCTAGTTCAGTCCCAGGTACCCAGCTGAGAAGCCAATGTGGTTCAGTCAACCCTTGTAGTTGCCTTAGTCTCTACAGACTGTACTGGTAACTAGCCCACATGCCAAGTTCCTGGGAGCTGGCACAGTAAATTCTTGGGCGAGAGCTGAACAAGTACTTTAACAGTACTGAGAAACTATCCTTCACTGTATAAGTGAGAAAACTGAGGCCAAAATGGAGCAAAGAGGTCCCCTCATGAATAGTGGCAAAGCTGGTACTGAAACCAAGTCTCTTTCGTTAGGCTTAAGGACTTTTCTAAATCACCTGGTGGTTTCCTGGATACCTCATAAAAGAGGAACTGGACCAGACAGAAAAGAGTTTATATAGAGATCATGGTCTAACATTAGATGTTTTCGTTTAATGTCTCCATTGCACACATGGGCAAAACCATGGCCAAAGAAGGGGAGCTGGTCTATGGGAGATAGTAACTCAAAGGTAATGAATGAGCTCTCAAAGGCATCCACTGCCAACCCTGTGATCAGATGATGTCTGGTCCCCCCAGGATTGAGACTCTCTGTGTATAAGTCTGTAAGCATCTCTCATCCTCCAAAGACGCAATCAGGACACTCCTCCCGCCTCTACCTTCTTCAAGCCGACAGTCCCCATAATCACCATTGTTGGATGGGTTCTTGCTGTAGCAATGAGCCACCAGCGCCGTGGCCAGGGCCCACATGCCCAGTCCAGCTCTGTTTGGGACCCCACTCCAGCCATCTTGTCCAGGGAATGTTTCTTCAGAGCTAGGAAGGCGTCCCCACGTGGTGGCTGCAAAGCACTGGGGCTCCGCACGTCCTCCCCGACGCCCCCCAGTGGCTGCCCCTCGTCCAGCGAGCAAGGCTGGCGCTGTCCCAGGGCGCCCCCCTGAGGCTGCCCTCAGCCATTGAGGCTCTCCACGGCCTCCGGTAGTTAAGCTCCGGCCAGAGGTGCCTCCATGGCTACGGAGTGATGGAGACTTAAGCAGTCGGTTGAGGAGCCGCGGCGCCAGCGCTGTTCTACTCAACACCAGGGACCCCAGCATCATGACAGCTGCTGCTTCTACAACCCCCTGGTGCCGGCCCCTGTGTTGGCCACGTCCAACATGGCTGCCGCGGCACGTTCGAAGACGCCGCGAATGGGGTGTATTGCGCACTACCTCACGGGAATGGTAGTCCACAGCCTTAGAACTTTCCGCAGCTGAAGAATAAAGAAACGACATTTCCCAGAAGGCTGTGAAACTAATGTCACAATGACGGCCTACTTAGAGTAGGCTAGGGCACATTGGGAAGTGAAGTTCGGGCTAGAATATATGGGCGGGGCAGGGAGGGAAAGGCCATAGAGGGGCGTGGCTATTGGTTACGCGCTGGCCTGGGGCGCCACCCAGCGGTTTAAGGTTAGAATTCCAGAGCCTCTTGGTTGATTAGAACGCACATTTTGGTTAGGATAAGCTAAGCAGGAACATGTAGTAGACACGTACTTTGAAACTTAAGACTTAACCTTTTTTAGAGTTTTTTTTGTCTTTTCAGCCTATACAGCTTTTCACAAAGGAGATGTGTAGGGTAACTGGAGCATCTTAAGTAGGAATTCCTTTTATTTTCCTACACAGACCCTCTACTTCTAGGTGTTGACCTAAGAGATAAAAAAGCTTATGTTCTTACAGACTTGTATACGAATATTTATAGCAGCTTTGTTAAAACACCCCAAACGTGTATCAACACATGAATGAATAAATAAATAGTAGTATATTAATATTAACAAACCAACAACAAAAACTGTTGCTCTCAAGTTAATTCCAACTCAGGACTACCCCATGTGTTACGCATAGAATTGTTCTTCAGGTTTTATTGACTCTATATGGTGAGTCTTGGCATGACGCTGTGGGTTAATGCGCTGGACTGTAAGGTCGGTTTGAATGGCAGGCTTGACAGTTCAAGCTCACCAGCCTCTGCTCGGAAACCCTATCTATACAGGATCACTATGAGTTGGAACCAACTCGAAGGCACTTAATAACAATCTTTTTATGGAGGAGTCTTGGTGTAGTGCTGTAGGATAAGCACTGGACTGCTAACTGAAAGATCAGTGGCTCCAACCGAAACCCTATACAGGGTCACTGTGAGTTGGTACTGACTCAACAGCATTTAACAGCAACAATCTTTATAGAAGTAAATCACTAAACTTTTCTTCTATGGTTCTGCTAGGTAGGTTCAAACCACCAACTTTTAGGTTAGTTGTTGACTCACAGCAACTCTGAATAGGGTTTCCAAGGAATGGTTGGTGGATCTGAACCACCGACCTTCCGGTTAGCAGTCCAGTGCTTCTCCCATAATTCCACAGTCAAGCACAAACTGACCTTCCCGGGGACCTGGATATTCACGTGGTTGCTGCTGTTGTTAAGTGCCGTCAAGTCGTTTCTGACCTATAGTGACCCTGTATAGGGTTTCCAAGGAGAGGCTGGTGAGCTTGAACCACAGACCTTATGGTTCAAACGACGTTGCAATCCAGCACATTAGCCCAGAACCACACCAGGTTGTTGTTGTTAATTGCTGTCAAACTGGTTCTGATACATAGCTACCCTGTATAGGGGTTTCCCAGGAGCTGCTGGTGAACCTTGTAGTTCAGAATGACCCTGCACTCGAGGGCTTATCCTACAGTGCCACACCAGGACTCCATTAGATTGGGAGAGATTTAAAAAAATAAGTGTGACCACTGTGTGGCAAGTTTGTAAGGAAAAAACCTCATATTATTGGTGAGAGTGTAAATAGATAACACTTCAACATAATATTAATATCTGGAATTTAAAATACTGATATAGTTGCACATGTGTAAAATGAGGAATGTTTGGGTATATTTGACACAGTAGGATATTAGAAACAACCTAAATATCCACCAGTAGGAGATTTTAGCCATTACCATGGTTGTGCAAACTCATCTTAAGCTGATAGTCCTCAAGCAGGAGTCTCCAGGAATCGATGAAATACAATTGCAGTATCACTTAATGTTTCAGTTTTTAATATTCAATCTCTGTGGCACCATAGGATAATCACTGGACTGGTAACCTCAAGGTCGGTGATTCAAACCCACCAGATGATCCTGGGAAACCGTACACATGATTGCTGTGAGTTAGAATAGACTCAACACTTAGCAACACCAACATTACTGAGCTGGACAATGAATTAGGAAGACTGAAGAAGAATTGATGCATTTGAATTATGGTGTTGGTGAAGAGTATTAATATACCATGCATTGCAAGAAAAACAAACAAATCTGTTTAGGAAGAAGTACAACCAGATATTCCTTGGAAGTGAAGATCATGAGATTTCATCTCTAGTCCTTTGGACATGTTATCAGGAGGGACTAGTCCCTGGAGAAGGACATCATGCTTGGTAAAGTAGAGGGTCAGCAAGCTGGATTGACACAGTGGCTGCAACAATGAGCCCAAACATAACAATGATTATGTAGATGGTGCAAGATTATTCCTTCTTTTGTACATGGGGTCGTTAAGAGTCAGAACCAACTCAATGACACCCAACAACAACAACAGAACACAGTAGAAAGTCAAGATTGTCTTCATAACTGCAGAATTGCTAGTAGAAAAAGGCATGATTTTAAATCATACTCATAGGAGTCTGTAATATGATTCTCATATGGGGGCTTGCCAGAGGCTGCCAGTAGCTCTTTGTGCTATAGACACTTCCTCTACCACTGGATCTGCTGGGTCTCAAGACCCAAGTGACATGGCAGTTTGAATGACAAGTTAGACCTACTGGAGAGCGTTTTCTTGCTCTGAGCCCCAGTCAAAACTGGCAGTTGTATGGGTTACTTGGTAAATGGGTTGCAGGACCATACTGAAATGTAGTAGTATATCATGCTTTCAAAATCCAAACAGTCCTGCTAAGCTTTGTGCCACTTTTATTCATGGTATTTTGTAACATGGTATTTATTCATGGTGATGCAAACTGTCTCTCATTTTAAAAGCTGTATTCCAACATGCCATTGGACCTCTAGAAACCTCACCCATGTGTGGGGTCCCTGAATCTTCATAAGATTTATCTCCCATATTCTCATATGCATGTGTTAGATTAAAATGTCTGTAATCTTTGCTACTTTCTGCGATCCAGCACCAGTTTCTAGACTGTCATCAACATAATGGACAAGCATGGTGTTCTGTGGACTATCAAGATGATTTAGGCCCTTTTTGACTATTTTATGTCAGAGAGCAAGAGGTTGCCATACATAGCCTTAAGGACAAATAGTTGTCACTGCCACATGAAGGCAGATTGCTTTTGAGTTGAAAAGAAAGCATTTCCCAGATACTAGGTATGGCCTAGTATGGTGCTGTAGGATAAGCACTGGATTGGCCACCTCAAGGTCAGCAGCTCCTTGGTAACCCTATTGTTATTGTTGTTGTTAAGTGCTGCTGAGTCAGTTCCAACTCATAACGATGCTGTATAGTGTTTCCAAGGAATGCCTGGGGGGTTTGAACCTCCAACTTTGCCATTCAACAGTCCAGTACTTACCCTATGACACCACACCAGGACTCCTGGAAATCTTGTACAGGGTCACTATGAGTTGGAATCAACTCAATGACACTTAACAATTGTAACAACAATAGGACCATATTGATTTGCTGCAGAAAAGATACCACAACTAGATTGCAGCTGCAACCAAAATCATTACTTGATAACATTTACAATAATTCACAGTCATTCTCCAAGATCCACCAAGCCCAAAGAACAAATTAAATGGGGTTGTAAAAAGAACAAATTCAATGTTCTTCTCCAAGGACTGGTCCCTCCTGATAATATGTCTGAAGTTTGAGAGACAAAGTCTTGCCATTCTAGCTTCTAAGGAGCATTCTGGCTGTACTTTTCCCCAAACAGATTTATTTGTTCTGGCACTCCATGGTACTTTTAATATTCTTCTCCAACACTACAACTCAAATGCATCAATTCCTCTGTGGTCTTCCTTATTCATTGTCCAACTTTCACATGCATATTAGCCTATCAAAAATACCATGGTTTAGTTCAGGTGCAACTTAGTCTTTCACACTTTAAATCTTATGCAACAGAGTTGCCTAGTGCAGTAAGACATTTATGATTCCATGAGTGTAAATTGTGAATCCAAGCAAAACGAAGTCTTGGGCAACTTCAATCTTTTCTCCATTTATCATGATATTTATTTATTGGTCAAGTTATGAGGATTTTTGTTTTCTTTACATTGAGGTTGTAGTCTTTGATCTTCCTCAGTAAGTATTTAAAATCCTCTTTGCTTTCAGCAAGCAAAGTCGTATCATCTGCATATCGCAGGTTGTTAATGAATCTTCCTCCAATCCTGATGCCACATTCTTCATATAATCCAGCTTCTCTGATTATTTGCTCAGCATACAGATTGAATAAATATAATGAAAGAATATTCTCTTGGTGCATGCCTTTCCTGGTTATAAACCATTCAGTATCCCCTATTCCTGTTTGAACAACTGCCTCTTGGTCTATGTACAGGTTCCTCATGAGCACAAGTAAGTGTTCTGAGAATAACAGAAAGATGTTTACCTGTGCTTTATTGACTATGCAAAGGCTTTCAATTGTGTGGATCATGACAAGCTATGGACAATATTGTGGAGTATGAATATTCCAGAACACTTAACTGTACATGCGAAAGCTGTACAGTGAATAAGGAAGACCGTAGAAGAATTGATGCTTTTGAGTTATGGTGTTGGAGGAGAATATTTTGGCTCTTGTGGACTTGTTGTAATTTTCTTCACCCTTCGGCCAGAACTTGCATATGAGCAATTGATGTCTGTTCAACAGTCTCTGGCCTTGTTTTGGCTAGTGATATTGAGCTTTTCCACCATCTCTTCCCACAGATGTAGTCAGTTTGATACCTGTGTATTTCATGTGGTTAAGTCCATTGTAAAGTTACCTTTTATGCTTTTTAAAAAGGCATTTGCCGTAAATAAGTCATTGGTTTTGCGAAATTCTACCATGCGATTTCCAGAATCATTTCTATTACCAAGGCCACATTTTCAAACTACTAATGTTTCCTCTTTGTTTCCAACTTTCACACTCCAGTTACCAGTAATTATCAATGTATCTTGAATGTATGCTTGGTCAATTTCATACTGAAGAAGTTGGTGGAATTCTTCAATTTCCTCATCACTGGCGTGGTGTGTACATTTGATGAATTGCAGTTATTAACTGGCCTTGTAGGCGTATGAAAATTATCCTATCACAGACAATCTTGAACTT